TCGAAAGCCAAATACAGAATGAATATAATATGAAACGGGGCTTGGGGTATCGCTTGGGCTCGCCCCAAAAGCCAACTAGATTAAAAAAAATTTTTCAAACAAAATTTTACCTAAAAATACGCCTACTTCGATATATCTGTTAAGCGACACGTGATTTCAATTTTTTTCCGAAATAATGCTTTTTTAGAGCATTTTTATTATTTTTGTTTTTTGGAATTTTTCACTTTTGAATTTTGATTGTTGTTCGTTCGAAAGCCAAATACAGAATGAATATAATATGAAACGGGGCTTGGGGTATCGCTTAGGGTCGCCCCAAAAGCCAACTAGATTCAAAAAAAAATTTGCAAACAAAATTTTACCTAAAAATACGCCTACTTTGATATATCTGTTAAGCGACACGTGATTTCAATTTTTTTTTTCCGAAATAATGCTTTCTCAGAGCATTTTATTATTTTTGTTTTTTGAAATTTTTCACTTTTGAATTTTGGTTGTTGTTCGTTCGAAAGCCAAATACAGAATGAATATAATATGAAACAGGGCTTGGGGTATCAGCCTGGGCTCGCCCCAAAAGTTAACTAGATGCAAAAAAATTTTACCTAAAAATACGCCTACTTCGATAAGCGGCACGTGATTACAATTTTGTCTTTTTCCGAAATAATGCTTTTTCAGAGCATTTTATTATTTTTGTTTTTCTGAATTTTTTACTTTTGAATTTTGGTTGTTGTTCGTTCGAAAGCCAAATACAGAATGAATATAATATGAAACAGGGCTTGGGGTATCAGCCTGGGCTCACCCAAAAGCTAACTAGATTTGAAAAAAATATATGTTGCCTTTTAAGGTGTTTCGCTATGGCCGATCATACGTTGCTTTACTGCAACACAACGTGTAGAAAAGAGACAGTCATAGTGATAAATAATCTGTGTAATTTAAGGAGAAGGAGAGAAACAAAGAGCCAATCATTGTATTGCAAGACAATGGGCTACAGGTACCGTTAGCTGGCAATCGTATTGGCTGTCGTTAAGCCAAACGCGCCGACAGACTAAAAGAGAAAGACAGAGACAACAACAACGATCACAAGATGCATACAAAAGCAAGCTGACTGAGCGCGCGAGGCAATAGAAGAGTTGTTAAAGTGATTGCTTTCTCGCTTTTTAATATAATTTAAAGCAAATACGTGAGGGTGTGCGTGTGTATGTGCATCTATGCACGTGTATGTGTGTGATTGCGATAACATTGATTTAAACACTCCGCTTTGAATGGCTTTTAGAGTAAATATTGCTATTGTCTGTTGGCCTGCGGCGTATTTAAAAACTCACCACAGAGCGTAATTCTTTTTATATTGTTTTCTTTTATTTCATTTCAATTTTTTTTTCCTTCTGTCTTTTGTTTGTTTAGTGTGTGTGTGTGAGAGTATGTGTGTGTTGTGTTTTTGGGGGGAAATGCAAGTGTAACGACGTTATGCCGGCTTTTTTGCCTGCGCCTTTGCGTACCGTCCTCTCTCCTCTCATTGCCGTGCAGCGAGCAAAGCCCACTCAAAACAAACAAATCAAAGCGCTTTGCACGTGTCAAGCAGCGGCTCAGCCACACAGCGACTCAAACGGGACGCCATGAAAGAGTGGGCGAGACGATGCGGAAGACGCGGCGAGGCGAAGCGAAGCGAGACATGGCGAGTGGAAGCAAGACGGGCCGAGGCGCGGTGCAACGATTCGAGCCAGCCGAGCCGAGCGCTTGAGTGGCCAAGCACGAGCGACTGCCGAGTGCCGACAGGCGACAGGCGACACTGTTTTGTGTTGCTTTATAACTCACCACGCAGCAGAGCAACTGGCACAGTCGTCGACCGGCTTTCGCAGTGTTCGCACTTGTCGTGCGCTTTCCGCAACGTTACAGTTAACAGTTAGCTCTCGAAAATAGCGTAAATAACGTAAGCGAAACACACGTGTGGAGCCAACAAGAAAAGGCGCTCACTGGACTTTTACGCCAGCTGCTCTTCATTGTTGTTGTTGATTTTTTTTTTTTTTTTTTTTTTTTTTTTTTTTTTTATAAGTGAAACTGAAACCGCGCCGCAGCGAGCGATATTCGCGTGTGTGAGAAAGGAGTGACAAAAGTTATTAATCATTTAAGCACATTTATGTCGCCTGGCTAACACACACACACACACACACAGACTTACAAATACCACACAGTCACACACTTCAAAAAAAATTGCGGAAATTTAGTTTGCTTTGTCTGCGTGCGTGCCGTCGTCATTGGTGTTGTTATTGCTGTCTCGTTTTCCCCTTTTCGATGGCCGCTTTAAATTCTGTTTATTTCCTTGCTGCCTATTTTTAGGCATTTTGTGGTAAATTTAATAACGGCACCTGCCAAATGCTGCGCGTGTTTCGCCAACCGTTTTGAGTGCATTTTTTGTTGCCCACCCAATTGTCTGTGTGTGATCGAAGCATTGTCGAAAATTAATTTCGCTCAGTCAGAGCTGAGTGATTTCTTCGTTCCTTTTGTTTGCTTTGAGCGTCTCTGTCTGCGTGGACTGCGTGCGAGTGCATTGAATTGAGTAATTCGTGGGAGTGCTAGAGCAGTTCCTTTTGACTCGGTGATCTCATTTGTTGAGTGGTTTATGATGTACGATTTATGAGTGAGTCGCAATTGCATAAATTGCGTGTACTATCATAATAATGTGAGTGATATACAATAATGCTCTGATTGGCTGAGTTGTTGTGGTAATGGATTATCGTTTACGTTTCTTTATGCAATTTGTAATCATACTAAATTGGGCCTTTTCATCACTGTTAACAGATATATACTTGAGTTTTTTGGCCGCAGCTCCTGGTTCGCTTCACCTGTCGCATACAAATCGAAAATTAGTTTTTAATCGAATGCAATTTTTTCCGTTTTTATTGTAAAATTGAAATGAGAGATCGCTTTCTAATGCAAATTGATTCGCATTTATGCGAACATTTATATATGTATAAGTTTATGTGTGTGTGTGTCTCTCTCTTGCCATATTCAGACTTGAGTGTTCAATCGCTTTGCCCTTAGGCTCGTCCCATAAGCCGAATTTGGTGTAGCTGGATGAACATAATGTGCCTCCACAAAGATATGAGTTAAGAGGGGATAAGATAAGAGGCTGACTGGATCAAAGTTCGTCTGCAATGAGAGTATAGAAATACGAACTCAACTTATAGTATCCATATGATTGGATGACTGATATTATAGATGGATGGCTGCCACTGCCTGTATAATAGGATATAGATAGATAAGATTAATATCGTCAAGTTTTTGCCTTTTGGGCTAATGTGTTAGAGATACTTCCATCAGTTGTGAGACTCTCTTGATGGCAATCAGTTGCCTTCTTTCGGTCCATTGATTTCGTCAGCTTGTCACGGCAGCTCATATATTATCATAATATCTTCACGATTTCGGCAACGATTTATGAAAATTGAAATTGTTTTTTTTGTCCTTTTATTATGCCTTGCCCGCTGCCTCACACCTGTCACGCCATCGATTCGCCTTTGGCTACACTTCCTTCATCTCCGTTGACTCCTTTGCTGCCATCTGCTTCAATACTTTATGCAAAATAGTTCTAGTTCTTGGTTGCCCATTTGGGAATTTCTTGGCATTTCAATTGGCACAAATTGCTAGGCAAGAGTTGATCAATATTGAAGTGCTACATAGATTAGTCAGCCTATCGTTTAAAGTCTCTGACTTTTGTTCTATCGATATATATCGCATTGCAATATTCAATAGACTTAAAGCCTTACATAGCATTGTTTCGGTAAGCCGTCAGGTCCTCATCGCACCCCTTTGCTACGGATAGAATCAGCTCCCAAATTCCCATTTCCCTTCTGCGATTTATTGGTAGTTACACTCTTCGCTCTCTTCTTCTCGCCTCTCTCGCTCTCTCTCTTGGATGCTATGGTGGTATACAATTGTCATAATTCAATTTTAGTTTTAATTTCCGCTCTTGGGCGTAAATTGCATTTGCACACACCACACCAACACACCCACACTTCTATTCATATTGTCCTTACACACACACACACACAGGCAGTCGTGCATGAGGTATTGATGAAATCTGCTCACATTTCTATAGGGCTCTATTGTTATCGGTTATCGAAACTGTTTTGATTGCAACATATTTAAGCTGAAAATGTCACCGAATGCGTTTATCGCCATGTGCCACGCCCCCCAACCGAAATGGGGGCTGCTGGGCGGAGTTGTTTGGCTGTCGCTGCTGTTGCCTCTGGCCGCCGGCGGTTCGTGCCGCGAGGCTCAGCTCTGTTGCAACGGACGCGACTCGTCGTGCGTGGTTCAGAAGGCGCCGGTGAATGCGATTATCGAGGATCTGAGCGATAAGCCGTGCTATTGCGATCACGCCTGTCTCAAGCTGGGCGATTGCTGTGACGACTTCAAGGATCATTGTGGAGGTGAGTAGCTGCAACTTGATATTGTTATCGATAATTATCGATAAGTTTAACTCATGTTTTGCTTAGCGTAAGTTAAACTTGGCTTTTTAAACCCATGCCGGAAGGCATATAAGTACAATAGTATCGAGATCGATAAGTATCGATAAAAGTAGGCTTGCAGCTGAGTAGGCTGTTGCCTCAACTATACTAATTATTTGCATTTTTATGAAATATCCAATCGGTAAATGGACTTTTTGATGAGGGACTCCATATTTTGAGGGCGACATGAAGAGCAAAAGTTTCCGGAGCTGAGCCGAAGTTCATTAGCAAGCGTCGCAGATCTAATGCGATATAAACTAGCTAAACAACAGCGCGAATATTCTCAATATGCTGCAGACTAAAGTCCTCCCCCTCCTCCTCCTCCTCCTCGTCCTCCTTGGTGCTTGCATCCTTCGCGTGGCTGCGTTGCTGCGTGTCTGCCTGGCAGGCATGTAACTAGGACTATAAAAAGGCCAACTTAATGGCCACATCCACAAAACTAAGAGCAACATTCATGGCTCGTTGGCTCGCACTGCCTGACGACTGCCGGCAGCCGACTGCTCACTGCTGACTGCTGCCTGTCGACGCAATGCCACGCCCCCTGCCCTCCTGCCAGTCGCGTCTTACAATTTGTTCCTTTGCATTTTTCTTCTTTTCTTTTTCTTTTTTTTTTGGGTTTTGTGAAAGTACAATAGCTAAAGGGCTTTAATTTTATTACACACAGCAAATAAAGTCAACGAACATGCGGCGGCGGCATCTCTCGCCTCTCTACGCGCTTCTCAGACAGCCAAATTAAATAAGATACAGATGGCGATGGAATGGGCGGGAGGGGCCGAGGGAAGGCAGAGAGTGGAAGACACTGGCGAAGACTTGGCCAAAAGTTGAAATTTTTGCGTGCCAGCTGCGGCTACACAACTTGCCACAACAATATATAACAAAAGACAGCAATGACAGACTAGGCAGATACCCTGCAAAGGCTGAGCAGAAAACCAGCAGAAATGTGAATTGATTTTCGCATTGGAATGAGCTCGACATTAAGGACTGCAGGTTGAGTGATGCACATAGGGGAGTGGGGGCTGCCTGTATACCCTGTAATTCTCAGCACGTGCTCTCCCCTTCCATTTCACTATTTCGCTGCGTCTGCTACAGCTTTATATATGTGTATGTGCATACAGCTTGCCTTTATGCTTGCCAAATTTACAGGGTATCAGATAAAAAACTACAAAACAAATGGCGGCGCAGCGGGCACAACAGCAGTTAAGGCCCGTCGCTGGCAACACACAATTTATTTAATTTCGTATTAAATTTGATTTGATTTTTATTGTTGTTAGTGAGATGGAGAGAGAGAGAGAGAGATAGAGAGAGAGAAAGAGACAGAGACAGAGACAGAGATGGGGCAGAGCGAGTAGAGATTTATGATTACATGAAGGAGGCGCATCAATTAAAGCGCCGCTGCAAAAGAAAACCCATAAACACAAAAACTAATACGAATACAAATAACAACAGCTCACAAGACACACACACACACACACACACACACACAAGCTCCTGCTCCAGCCGCAGGCATTACAATGAAACATAAAACGGACAATGACAATAATTTGCCAGCCTCTGGAGTCTCTTCGTAGACAAGGTATCTAGGGGCGAAAGAGGGAGAGTTTTGGCCAGATATTATCAGAGGGAGGGAGCCTGTTGCAGTGGGCGTTAATAGAGTGGGCGTGGCTATACAGCTGAGTGCAATTGAATTTGGTTATTACCAATAACTGAATGTCCTGAATGTGAACTGCTTGAAAATGTGTGCATTGAATTGGCCTTGGTATGAACTTAAATCAGCTATCGATATGTATCGATAAATATGTGTTTTGCTCATGCAAATTCATATATGTTTGCAAATTACTTATGAACTTTATCTTGAGTTTCCAGCACAGATTTAAATGCACTTCAATTGATATATCGAAGGATCGATATAGCATTTTTTAGTTCTTATTGCATTTTCGTGCTACAGATAATTGCTTTAAAGGTCCAGCCTTTAAGTCAGCTTACGCCCTGCCCTGCCCTTTGCGTCTGTCGCTTTTGTTGCTGGACCATCCCGAACTCTCGTATTTTATTTTCTTGGCATTTTATACAGAACGTCTATAACTACCAATTAAGTTTGGTAAATATATCGTGCTATAAACATAACAAACATGTCAAACTAACAGGCAGGCGAAATGGCGGCGGGGCGGGGCGGGGCGGGGCCGGGGCGAGAGATGTGAGCGGACAAGCCGAGTGACAGGCAGTCAGACAGGCAGGCAAAAGGAAATGCGTATAAAGCGATAAATGTCAAGTTAAGCAACAGAAAGAGAAAACAGAAAACACAAAACAGAAAGCACGAAAGCTAAAAGCCAGAGGGGGAACGGACACTGGGCAAGGGGAAGGGGAAAACAGGAAAACCTAAGCAGCAACAACTCGTAAGGTTGTAGAGATCGCACTGCTGGAATGGGCTATTCAGCTGGCTTAGCATGTGCAGCTGTTGGTAACAATCAATCAAAGTCATCTCAATATATATCGATAACGATAGCGATAAACGAATCAAAGCAACAACTGCCTTCTGTGATATGGAAAGGATTCAACTCTAAGCTGAAGCAGATAAAAGTGTTGATATATCGATAGCAATAGCGATAACGATTGTTTATTCCGCACTCTCTTTCCCCAAGAGTCACTTAATATCCCTAACATATCTCTATAAGTTTCTCTATCTATCTGAATTTCTCCCTCGCCCACTCTCTATACATCTCCTTCTCTCCCTCGTTGAAAAAACTCTTTAAGCCAAGTCTTCCCAATTAATTCGCCAATTAAACTATCATAATCAACGCTAATTAGTTCGGCGAAATATTTGAAGGCAGCGGATGGGGATGCCTTATTAATGTCGCCTTAATAGGGCATGGAATGTTCAGCATTTGAAAGCCTTTCAGTTGACGCCGAATTAATGATAATCGGTTGAATATGTCGACAATTAATAGCAGCTTCGGATGGGGTATGCTCTAGTGTGATATGTGCGCAGGGGACCTTGTTTATAAACTGCCTCAAACTACGCTCCTAGTTCGCATAGTAACTTGAGGAAACTTTGCCTTTGTGTTAATAGATTGAACCAATCATTTGTGGCCCAAACGTCATTAGGCGTGTTTACGAAGCTGAGAGCCAAATGACCCAACTTGGATAATTCACTTCGCGGTTCGAGTGTGGCTTACCGCAAGTCTTAGCCTTAGATCTTGGTTCGAATAGCAAGTGGGGGACAGATAAATGATACTGTATTCGATACTTTGTGCACACCCTTCGAATCACTTTAATCAATATAAAGGGTATACATTAGAGAAGAAGAAGCAGAAAAAACAAGAAATTTAATGAGCGCCATATCGAGTGACCGAAAAAACCCCTTCTGACCCTTTCAGCCTCGAACGTTGGTCTCAAATTGTTGGCAAACAACTTAAAGGCACGGCCAGACAGATAGACAAACAGAGAGACAGACGGACTTGCTCCTAGACTGACCTAGCCACCCCCACAGGCCAGGCCAGCCCCGGCCCAGCCCCTTGTCACGCCCTCCCCCGAAAGCGTTTTGTGAGTAGGTAAATGAAACACATTTGCGTCAAGACCTATCAAATCAAATAAATCAGTTGCAAAGTGAAAGGAAAACAACTTGATGAGCGGCCAGTGCAAGAGATCGACGATGCAATACCCTGCAGAGCACAATGTGAAATGATTAACTGTGTGAATAATAAGTAAAGCTTCTGGATACTGGGCACTTCCAGCCCATCAGGGTTAAGTCCACTTTATTCATTTTACAGCCATGAATTGAAAAGAGAGTATGATTGTGTATGCATGTATATGTAGTCTACACACAGCAGATATACCCACATGCTAGTCATGTTGTTCTTATAGGGTATGAATAATAAGGGCTCAGTCCATCGCATTTGACTTGGGTCTTTATTCTGAACGGATTTGCAGGCAATTCTTGGCCTCTGCTTTTGCTTTTGCAGCGACTAATGAGCGCTGAGCCTGCAGCTCGTACGCTCCATTTGCCCTAGGTTGAGAGGGACAGCCAAATGGCGGGCATGGAATGCGCCTTGGTCTTAATGCCCCATTGAATGTTTCCCTAACAATCTGAGGCCGTCTACGCTACAGCTTAAAGGGAGTTCAGAAGTCGACTTAGCCCTTGAAGTCCATCAAAATGGCCCGAAACGAAAAAGGCATAAATATTAATTATTATCAAAATTGTGCTAAACACTCAATTAGAAAGTCACCCCAGCGGATTTTAGCTGTGTGTGTGTGTGTGTGTGTGTGTGTGTGTGTGTGTGTGTGTGTGTGTGTGTGTGCTGTTTGCGTTCAATAAAGATAATAATAGAGTAATTATTATGAAAACGTTTGTTAATGCTTCACATGCCACGCCCACAGCGACCTCATACTGAGTGTGTGTGTGTGTGTGTGTGTGTGTGTGTGTGTGTGTGGGTGTATTTGTATAGCTATTCACTAATGCTTGGGGCCAAGACTTTTGCGGCTCAAAAACTTTTAGCACTTTATTAATTTCATTTAGCACATTAAAAGCATTTTGTTAATCCTATGGCCATCAATTTGTAGCATACACACACACTCTCCCTCTCTTGCTCTCTCACTCTCGCACTCTCTCACTCTCTCACTCTCTCACTCTGTGCTGGGCATTTGTCAAATCAAGTTTCTATTAAGCCAAAGTAATTGGTAAGGCGCAGACTGAAACTTCTTTAATATGTTAAGTCATTAGACTAAGACCAACGAAATTCCGATGGAATTTGCCAGGCAATGAGAGTTAGGGTAATCCTGCAACAGCCCAGAGTTTTGTGCGTTCTGAAACTGATACTGAAACTGGAATTATGCCCATTATGTGGAAGCTGGCGTTGGGTCATATTTGAGACTCACTGACATGAAGAGTAATTATGTGTGGCCAAATGTGTGGGGGTAACTGAGCTCTGCTGGGAAGTCCTTGCTCTCAGGAGAGAGGCAGAGGTTAGCTTGTATGATTTTCCTGTTGCCGAGTTGGGGC